GGGCGGGAGGCAGGGGCGCACCTTCCTCCCTCTCGACAGGTCTTGCTTTGTTCAGGCAGGAGAGGGGCAGATTCCTTGTCCCGGATCTCTCTGATCCCTGGCACTGACCCTGCACCCCCAGCCTGCTCGAACACCCTGGGCTCACCCAATTTGGGCCTTTTTCTGGGCAGGGAGGACACGGACCCTATATATAGTGTGGCATAAAGCAGGGATGGCCCCCGTACACCCCAAAAATACGGTGTGGGAAAAAGAGGAGACAGTCCCTCATACACCGTGTGCCCTGCGGAGCCGCTCTGCCCGCGGCTTGGGGACAGGGACAGGAGCGCGGGTGCTTTAGCCGTGATGGTGCCGAGCTGGGTGAGAGCCTTTGCTGCAGCACAACGCGGGGTGGCTGCAGCGTCCGGAGGGGAGAAGCATTTCAGCAGCAGCGAGGCCGCGTGGGGACAGCCGGGAGGATGCAAAGCGGCGGCCGTGCAGCAGCAGGAGGGATGCACGGTGCACAGCACGGGGAGCTGATGCTGCGCACCAATCCTGCCCTCACCGTTTGGGGTCCCAAGCTGACGTGTACCCCAAAACACAACACCGTGCACCCCAACATCCCAGCCAGGAGCAGAGGGGGGAACCGGCGCAGGCTCTGCCACGCTCGGGAAACCTTCTCCTCCCTCCTGACTACTTGTAAACCATTCAGCAAGAATTTCTTAAAATAGGTTCCACTTTAAGGACTTATCTGCTGAATACCATTAATTTTCTGGGGTTCGTTAAAAGCAAACTTGGTATCATAGCAACTGAATCTATTCCAGGGAAGCAGCCAATTGCACCGCACGGTGTGTGCAACCGAAGGCGAGAGAAAGGAGCCTTTCAGGTTTATTCTCGGGCTTGTGCCTTTGCAAGTGAAGTTTTAATTTTCAATGTTTTATTCCTTGCAGAATATTTTATAATTTCTCCTGGCAAATCTGCAGGGAGAGGAAAATCACCGCACTGGCAAATATTTGCAAAATCGCCTTCGTTTCGTGCCCTCCGCGTGCGGGCAAAGGTGGTGGCAGCGGGATGCGGCGGGTGCTCGGGCTGGATCCGGCACCGGCAATTCGGCCTCGTGGTCAGGACAGTCGGGCTTGATGCTGCCAGCCCCAATGTCGCCCTCGGGAGGGATGCCGAGCATGGGCATCTCCGGCTGCCCCGGATGGATCCGGGACCGCCCAGCGGGATTGGGGGCTGCTGGTAAAGAGGACTCTAATCCCGGTCTCATTTCCCCGGCCTCGCTAAAGAAATAGTCATTATTTTCCCTTTAATCCCATCTCTCTCCTCTTTTCCATCAGGCCCTAAGCTGCAATCTTGTTCTCGGGGGATGTTACGCTGAGGATAATCCCAGGCACTGCCGGGGCGCTCGGCCCGGCTACTTTGGGGCAGGGGGGTGGTCTGCAGCCCTGGGCTGCTGCCAGCGGGTCGGGGGTGAGCCCCGCC